CCATGCAAACAACTCAAACTAACGCTTTCTGCACATCAACCCAATTCAGTTGCAGCAAATGTGAGCCAATTTTTCCTCACCCTTAACATTTTCTCTACCGTGTTATGGTGAAATGACGAAAGTGTATGAAAACAAGGAGGACACATAAATTGCACGAGAAAATTATCAAACCGGATTTGATTGACAGGCAGAAATTGTCACATGATGTAATTGTGGGTACGCATGCAATTTGCAGGAAGGAAAAGACAAATACTGTTTTATCGGCACGAATGGTAGGTATTTGAATAACTTGACAACACAAGTGCAATGAAATTTCGGCTTTTGGTTATTTTTGGCAAAGTGGTTGGTATCCACCACCAGATGTGTGTCTGTACACTCAACAGGTAATTTGACTGTGGGAATGAGTCGTCTTGATAGTGATGGGAAGAGAACATGTCCAGCTGAGTTAGTACGGACTGAGTGCCATGACATCAGGTGACGATGCGAACCAAGAGCGGAAAATGTGCGAGGCGGGTGGACGGGTGCACGTTTGATCAAAAAGCAAATTGAAGGTGGTTTGAGGAATGAGTGGCCTTAGCATGGAGCATTAAGAACCGATGAGAATTTGCCATGTGCAATGCGGTCTCGAACATCTCCTGGAGCCACTAGTGTTTCCATAACTCTTCTAATCTCACTTTGTCATTTATTCCAGCACTGCTTCAAACCGCGGCTACTGGGGGACTGATGCAATCACTTAAACGACAGTGGTCAGTTGAACTGGCTTTCATGCAAAACACTCTCATAGTAGTTGGAGAACGCGTCCACTGTTTAGATGGCAAAATCGCAATGTGTGCAGCATCACCAAAGGAGTAGTATTGTTGATTTTTTCCATCGCTAGAACAGTGTCTGTGAGAGTGTGTCTGTGATGTGCAAATGCGTAGGCAACTTCTAGTGGCACTGGTGGAGAAGATCATTTACGTCAGGTGAAATGTCAATTTAACTATTGTGATTGTGCTTCTGAAATAAGTTTTGCCATGCGATTTGTGAATTAGCTCTACCAGAATGAAAAATTGATGAAAGGATTGTGAGAATATTCGTTGGCAAAAGAGGACGCTTTTGCATTTTGTTAATTCGTTCAGAGAAAAGTAAACTTTGCCAACTAAGGATGCTGGAATCACTTGCATGTATGACGAGGCAAATAATTCAGCCTGGCCATTGCAGTGTCTCCTTCACCGTCATGGCACTTTGCTTTAAGTCTAGACTGCTTCATCAATCTCATGTCTCGTTTAAGGAAGGTTTCTTACTGGAATGTAGTACGGCATTTGTAGCAGCACTCGCGAGTCATCATTTGCCCTGTCATGAGGCATTACATAATGCATATTTCTTTCTCCCGCTTTTGGCTTGGAATTGAATTAGCCACCAGGCATAGTGCAATCCTTTGCAAATATGGGTAGCAGTGAGAAGGATCTACTTATGCAGGTCACTGCAATCAGTGGTGGAGCAATATATGCTTCTACAAACATGTGATGCGATGTATACATACATCCGTACTAAAAGATGTTCAGTATTCCATCATTTGATCATATCTATTGCCCAAACTCAGACTGTTCTAAAGATTTATGCAAATTTGGCGTTGTGATTTCATAGTTGATGTTTAAGCACCACATTTTTTTCTCCGAAGTCAGGCATTGCTCGATCTGTGTGAGTCGTGGAAAAACGGGTTTCACATTGTGAATGTGGTTAGCCTCGATGTACACCAGCCCCGCACCCCACCATTGCAATTCAGCCTCTCCTGTAGCACGTGCCTTCGAAGGGAGGGTTAATGCGCTTTCGCCTGCACCACAGTCGCGTGACCAGTTGCACATCTCTGCACCGAACATGTCCCCACAATTATTTCAATTTAGATGAGTGTGCTGGCGTAACTTCACCATCAGCTTAGGAATAATCTCACGGCATCTGTTGTGCATAGAGACCAAACAGTCGTACAGTTGAAGATACGAGCTCTCTCATTCTCAGCTCTGGATGCGCAGAACACCCTTCATTGTTCATGAGCAGGCGTTTCGCTGGGAATCACTGCTGTTACCTCTTCTTCCGGTGCTATTCTATGTCTCCATTCCCACTTTTCTTCCACAAAATGTCACTTCGTTCCACTAATTCCTGCATTTGATAAGGCGAGCTTTGCCAAGAGCCCCTTTCACTACTTCTCTGACGACACCTTGCTTGAATTGACATTTAGTCCCAGTCAAGCTGATGATCCCCGCCGATTACTTTAGCTGTGTAAGTATCTTCTTCGTAGGCGTCACCATATCCCTTACTACAGGAAAGTGTTGATGTGGGAGAATATAATAAAACGCAGGAATGCGTTGGAAAAGGAAGTGCTTTTAAAATAGCACCAAAACATGCATTGTGAGGATTGCAACTGCCTGAGACATTGGAGCGAATTTGGCGTTGAATTTCTATCGACGATGTGTGGACACACTTCATTCCCCTTCTGGAGAAAGACACTGCCCACCCTGATTAAGCTGTGGATGCTCTGTTTCATAATGCAAGTAGAGTTAGTCTCAAGATATATCGGTCTGCTTTGCATTCGTTACAACTCAAACTTTTTCGGTGGCACGTGCTTCAATCATTAAAATTTACTGTGCATTCACC